CCAGGGCGCTCCGGAGGTCGTTGACTTTCACATCTGGAAGGGGGTTGAGGCCAATGAAGACCCCCGCCCCCCCCACAGCCTCCTCCTCCTCCTCGGGAGGCAGCAGCTCCCGCCTCCTCCGTCCTGCAGGCGCTGCTCGCTCTCCGCCACATCCCTTTTCCTGGAGGAGGCCGGCGCTGCCAGGTCTCTGGGCTCCACCTGACTCAGGGCTTTGGCTTTAAGGTCTATTCCTGAGTCTCTTTCCAGCCTCTTTCCTGCTACTCCCTGAACTTTGGCAGCCCCCGGCTGTTCTCTTTGGATGGGAGCTGTAGCTACTTCCATGGCTTTCAGGGAATTCTTCTCGTGGACGTCTCTTCCAGCTTTGGCTTCGTGACCTCCTCCTAAATCCTCCGCCAAGGACTTCTTTTCCAGGTGGTTTCTGGCTGCTGGAATGTGTTGGGCATCCCCGTGAGGAGGCTCCCAGTTCTCTGCCGGATTTTTAACAGCTCTGTCATTCTCCTGTGGCAGCACCTTCCGCTCCTTGGGAGGAACCCCGGGAATCTCACGCCTGTGCCCAGCCTCTTCCAGCCTTCCCGTGGTTCCCCTGCGCTGCTCCGCGGAATCAGCAGGATGCCCACCCGGGCCCTGCACGGGCAGCTCCGGCTCTTTGCCGAGCGACTTCGCAGCGGCTTCTGGCTTAGCCCCGAGGCCGTCGTCCTCCTGCCTGGAGACAGGCACAGCCAAATCCTGCTGCGTCTCCGCTGCAGAACAAAAACCAACACGTCAGAGCTTTTTCTTCCGACCAGCGCCGGATTCCCTTCTCCCGCCACCACGTCCTACCCAACAGGGAACGGGAGGAGAGATCGCACTGCCCACGGCCACGCGGGAAAACAAGGGGAGCTGCAGGGGGGAGCGTTATCCTGCAGGAGGGATTTATCCCTGCCGTCAGGAGCCGGGGATCCCCACCTCAGAGCTCAGGGTCAGACACAGGAGTGGCTTTTGCAGAGTGGGCTCTGCCCCGTGCCAGAGGGACTCAGATTGCTCCCGGCCCGATTTTAAAGGTGCTTTGAGCAGCGATGGGTCCCTGGAGGGGTCACGCTTGTCGGTGATGTCCTTACCTTGCTTTGGCTTCTCCTCTCCCTCCTCCTGCCTTTGCTGGTGGATCTCCTTGTGCTGCTCTTCAATCACGGCCAGGAGTTTCGCTTGCTGGTCAAGCAGCTGCTTCTGCTGGACCTGCTGCTCTT